TATACTCGTCTTTTTGAATTCAACCTTCTGTCCGACTCAAAGTTTGTTTTTCTTAAAAGGTCGTTAACGGAATATGTCATTACATCATTCACGAATCAGACATATAGATAATTCAACAACAACAAATCGTAAAACTGTTCATATCTAGAATTAAGTTTAGACAAGGCAACCCACGGGTTGTTGCCTAATGAACTACCAGAAATCACTTCGGAACCACAGTTCTGCCATTCCTGCGACGAAGCCTATAGTTCATCCCAGTTACATGGGTGTAGAAAGGTCTTAACTGCCACTAAATTTAAAAACTATATATTTCTAGATGATAATTTGAATTGATTAAAAAAAGATGTATTACTTGGAACTGAGAATTGAAAGTATGGTGGCATCCTCTACCATGTTAGAAAGTTCCTCACCACATGACCTGCTAAACGTACTCAGCTTAGATATAATTCAACAAAGGTAAAATTACCCAAAGTCATGAGCAACTGCATAAAAAATGTGCCGTAAGGACCAACTATACCTCATAGAATTCAAAATACCTTTCGGTACTGAATGGGTGAAAGGACTCGTTGAGAGGGGATTATGTATTGAAACTCCCCTCTTTTATCCAATCTATTTCAGTCTGTGTATTATCTGCCTAGCTCAAATAGCCTACTTTAATGTGTAGCGCCAGACAGTCACCCCGGACAGGAACATATGATAATTAATAGAAGTCAAGATCGTGTATGGATGTCACTTATTCATCCATGTTCTAAGCATCTCGTATCCACGATATGTCCATGGACATCTGTTATAATTGTCTTCTCCTTCCTACATTCCATCGTGAATAATTCAGAGCGGAGAATACAATGCATGAATTCACCTTTGGCTTGTCTGTATCATCTAATAGCTTGGTAATATCATAACAGAATGTCTTTGTTTGTCCCATGCAAAGAACTAAGTAGATGTGGAGTGTATGTTATTTACTGGGAATTTTAAAAATACACTGTACTCTAAATAACCAGACAGGAAACATTTTAATCAGAAAGGTGTCCAAAAGTTGGAGCAACGAATCAACGGTCAGAAGGCTCAGGCGTGGTCCTTTTTCATGGGACCGACTGTAGCAAAAAAGTATGTGCTATATACAAATTCTACAATGAGACTAAACAGACGGTAAAGAAACGGAGCTTTTGTGTTGCTGAAGCACAAACTCTTTTTTCAATGAAACGTTGATTTAGTGTTCAGAAAGCAGAGACAGTAGGCCTCTGTGACCGATTCCTGAGTGACCACGTGACTCGCTCGACGAATACAGGCGCTTGCACAGCTTTCGACACTTGCAGTTTTTTAATTGTTTTATTTTCTGAAATTGTTGGTAGATTTGAGAAAGGCAAATTGTATTTACCTCAACTGGTTATCAGGATATATACATACATACAAGCATAATTCATACATACATACATACACGCATGCATTTATACATACAGACATAATACCTACATGTATTATGTATCCATACAGACTTATAGCATATACATACATCCATATACGCATACATACAAGTATGCATAGATTTTATGCTCAGATCAAGTGTGTTCAGTCTTTGGATTTTTCATTCTTAAGAAGTACCTTATGATATGACACATTGTATTATTCTGGTGTTTAAAAAAACGGGTAGTAAGGGTCACTGAAACAAGGAATATATAAAACGCATAATACTTGAGTAAAGAAACATAAATACATACATATATATATATATATATATATGTGTGTGTGTGTGTGTGTGTGTGTGTGTGTGTGTGTGTGTGTGTGTGTGTGTGTGTGTGTGTGTGTGTGTGTGTATAGAGAGAGAGATGTGTGTGTGTGTGTGTGTGTGTATAGAGAGAGAGAGGTGTGTGTGTGTGTGTGTGTGTGTGTGTGTGTGTGTGTGTGTGTGTAGGTATGTGTGTATGTATGTATGTATATATATATGTGTGTGTGTGTGTGCGTGCGCGCGTGTGTATGTGTGTGCGTGTGTGTGTGTGTGTGTATGCATGTATGTATAGGCCTTTTTGTAACATTTCCGAGACCCCTAACACCTTGATACACTCTGATACATGTTTACGCGTAATTAATTAGAACCTGTTGGAACATCTTTTTATTTTGTATCAGAGTGTATGCCTGAGCCTTGATAGGTTTCCTACACTCCGGATGGCCTGTTAGAGCTCGACATTTTCAGATATATTTCACGTAGTCTCAGATAGGGATTTATATTTTCCTTAATCACGAATCACATCGTAAGTTTTTTGGTATGATATTTTCCTGTAAAGGCACATAAAATGTTTCAGTGCCTTTTCAGCAGTACATCAAATACATGTTCTCTCTATATGGTTAAGATTTGAAGTCAATCATGACGGCCACTGGAACGACATTTCCAACGCGTTCGAGTCATATGACGTGGTATTGACTCCGGTGGGATGAATGTCTTCAAAATCATTCTGTCCGTCGATGGTATAGCCTTACACTTAAGCTCAAAAATGTCGAAGAAAATACTGTGTATTTTGATTTGTTAATATGTTTAAATCAATAAATCAAGTAAATGTGATCAATGGAATTACCCAGTTATCTGATTTGGACACGGAACCTACTCGCGGTGGATACAATAAGATGCAAAACTTTATGCATATATATATATATATATATATATATATATATATATATATATATATATATATATATATATATATATATATTATATATATATATATATATATATATATATATTATATATATATATATATATATATATATATATATATATATATATATATATATATATGCAACCTCATATGAAGAACAATGTATGTAATAAAAATATATATATATATATTTTGACTGACTCTAAGAAGTGCATTTAAACTTTACACGGCCTTGCGAAGCGAAGAGTGTTGTGCATAAACAATATAAGTTGGTATATGAAAATTATACCAGCATAGTAAGTGCTTAAATGGTTTTCTGTTGACTTTTAAAAAATAATTAATAAAAATAAAAATAACTTCCCCCTTGTCTCAAAGCGACCGTGATACAACTTCAAGCAAGTATCAAAGTGTTAGGGGTTTCGGGATTCTATCAAAGGCCTTTCAAGTATATATGTATATGTATATATACATATATATCCAATTCCATAGGGTCATTGAAACAAGGAATGTAGCATAATAATAATATTAAACGTTCATGGCGGACAATAGGCCCCTCTGCGCTCACTTCTCGGCGCTGTCGCCGGCGGACGAGTGGGAGAAGCGGCCTCGGAGGGCGGGGCGCCGAGCGGAGAGGCCGGCGGCGAACGGGAAGTCGTCTCGCTCCAGCAGGCGAGTCAGCGGGGCGGCGCCGGCGTGGACGAAGCTAGTTTCCACGGCGGGGCGAGAAGCAGCCCCGACCTGAATGAAACGCGTTTCCACTTCGCGGCGAGGAGCAGGAACGGCCTCCACTTGGACGAAGCGCATTTCCACTTCGTAAGGTTCAGGAACAGCTTCTACTTGGACGAAACGGGTTTCCACTTCTGGCTGAGAAACGGGGACGTGGACGAAGCGCGTTTCCACCTCGCGGCGAGGAGCAGGAACGGCCTCCACTTGGACGAAACGCGTTTCCACTTCGTAAGGTTCAGGAACAGCTTCTACTTGGACGAAACGGGTTTCCACTTCTGGCTGGGAAACGGGGACGTGGACGAAGCGCGTTTCCACTTGAGGCTGTGGAGCAGGAACCTGAACGAAGCGTGTCTCCACCTCAGGCTGAGGAGCAGGAACGCCTCCCACTTGAACGAAGCGTGTTTCCACTTGTCTCCGAGGAGCAGCTTGTACGAGGCGAGTTCGAGGGGCGGCCTCGGCCTGAGGAAGGCGAGATCGGACGACAGACGTGGCGGCCGAAGCCAAGCGTGGTCGCGCCGCGGCTTTCGCTGCCGGGGCGTCAGCGGTGTCGACAGGAGAAGCTTCCTCGCCGTCGGAAATGACCTCCTTCTCGACGTCCAGCTCCGAGTCGGGCTGCTTCCGAAGGGACAGGCCCAGGCGGTCGGCCTCGACTTCCACCCTCACCTCTTTCCCGGCGTCGTTGACGAAGCTGCAACACAACAGAGCTCAGACGCGGCCCTTCGGGAGGGAAGACTCTTTTAGCAAGGAAGACGACGCTGTGCGATTACTCACGTGTACTGCAGCTCCACGTCCCTGGCTCGGTCCGCCCCGATGAGGGAGGTGCTACAGGCAGCCACGCCCGCCAGGGAAAGCAGCACCAGCTGAAGGTGGAGGAGAATTACTGTTTTTATATGTACTACAAAGATATTCATTGTTACATCTGTTCACACCTCTAACTCTTCACTTGCAGGGAAGCACACTGAGACAGAGGAGGGAAGCATTCCCGTGCCGAGCACGAGGGCGACGACTTACAATATTCATCCCGAAGATCAGAGAGCAAAGCCTTCGTCAGTTGTGTTCCCTTCGGCGTCGGTCCTCACCGCTGACTGCGAAGTCGACCTCCTTCGCCGCCCTTAAGTACCTCGCAGCAACAGGAATCAGGACAGGGGCATCGGGGGCAGGAGGGGCGGGGGCTGCCCTCGCTCCCTCGCGCACAAGTTCATTCATCCCCGATCGAGCCAGTCCGCCCAGCACCGCTACGCCAGTCGCCCGAAAGGTCAGCTGGACACCAAACAGGGGAAGTGGAGGTCAGCCAAATGTCTGTGCTTCTTCAGGTCGCGTTTTTACGTATTCCTCATCGGCTGACGCATCCGATTTGCGTCTGTGGTAGTTGTATGTGCACAAGCTTTCTCAAACACTCACAAAGAGAAAAACATAGTGTGTGGAAAACACAATGTTCACAATATTTACATTTTTTTCCCCAAATGAAAGTCTACACTAATGCACTCATATACATACATGCATACACTGATACAGAGAGGGAGAGAGAGACAAACATAAGTAGACAGTAGGCATTTCTACTTTCGCTCCACCGCACCATCCCAATCGCTTTTAATCCACTCTATATTGCCATATATATATATG